AGGAAGGGAGAGGAGAAGGGAAGGTGCCAGTTTGCACGGACCCTCCTTTGCTGTTGAGAGAAAGAAACAATTTCTGGTCATAAAATATCCCGTTAAACCTCCTTTTTCTTCAGGTAGAGAATCCTGCTTGCGTCATCAACTTTTATATACATAATTAACACAATAAAAAAACATCTCATCCTATTTTAGGCTATTAATTGTTATCGTTTTGTGTGCTTGTAAATTAGCCTTCTTGACCTCGCTTTTGGATAACAATTCTACAGTTTCTACGCAATTATGTTGTCGAGGCTAGAAAGCTAATTTACTTCATAAATTTCTGTTACCGTGACAAAGCATTATTAGTTATTGATAATGATCGCAAACGATTTTATTGACACTTTTAATCGATTTCATTAATAAAGTTCATTAGTTTTCAGTTCAGTTCTCTTGCGTGAGTTTTACCAGTACACACGCCGTCGTTCAGTTTTCTAACCACCTTGAAGGGTTACACTTAGGTCAGAGTTCAATTTTTCACGGGAAACCTGTCACAGAAGTAAGTTTCAGCTTTTAGAGTTGTGCTGTCGATTCACTGATTGCCTACTTCTCAAATAAACAGTGTTGTAACTACTCGAATGTTTCTTAATTAAATTGTATATATGTTAATTGTATATTTCAGATCGAACAAAATTATGTTTTTGATCATGCGATTGGTGGTTACCCGGCGTAAACATATCCGTATTTTGTCGATCATGTCCAACGTTCCGAATCCAAGTTCGCCATAACAAGTACGCCATTTATGAAAGAAAACTATAGCAGAGCAAGCGAAGTCGGACAACAATTTTGTGGATCATGCAATAATTTTGGTAAACTGTTATGCAAGACATAAAACATCCCATGGCGTGTTTTTCTGTTTTAACTTTCAACATCTGTCTACCACAGATGCTTAAGTTTGTTATCAGGATACCATTTACGAAAGGTGGTTTAATTTCCGGATGAGGAATTCAGTGTTGCTACTATTTTTCAAGACCCAAATCCTTGAAGAGCAAAATTTATTTTGGATTGTTTTGATGTTGCATGCCCCTGAAAAGACAACGATAATCTTGAAACTTGAAACAAAACATCTGAGCTTTTATTTCCTAATTTACAAATAATTGGGATACAAGCCGATAACATGAGTAGGCCAAATTTCAAGACAAGGACTTTTGTAATCGTTAGGAAATGTTCTAGTTAATTAATTTTCAAATTTAAGGCTACGAATTTTGCATCTCTGCTTTAAGGAAACATCTTTAAAGAACGAAAGCCCTACTCTGTGTATGCCACACACCTTTATGTTTCCTCCTTTGTTGAGCAATGTTATATATTGTATAACGAACTCAGAAAGTGATGTGATCTCATGATGTTCACCATTTGGTTGCTTCAGTCGGATTAGAACATGCCATTTTGAGAAACATGTCGAATAAGGCACAGCAATCATAATTTCAGTGTTTCAGATTCTTAATGATTCCTTCCTGTCATTAAAGGGACTTCATCGTTAGCACGAAGATACATAACTGAACGTAGGTGGAGACGTACAAGGCTACAATTTACAAGAAGTTTTCTTCTAGAGCATATTTGGTGTTCCAGACGTATGGAGGGCAGATTTTTTGAATACCCTCTCCTTAAAAAAATAGATTTAACCTCTTGACCGATTCAATATAATATTACAGCCCTGGTAAAACATACAAAACATAGCTCAGATACATCTCCAAAGAAAGTGGCGAATTGAGTCAGCGATCGAAATTCACGAAAAATTCCCAAGAAGAAAAGCTAAACGTATTAGTTGATGAGGTAAGGCTTCTATGGTCAATAGAGTGGGTTCAATTGTGCTGTGCTGTATAGAAAAAGCGTTACGTTTGAACATTTCATTTTGTTGTTGTTTTTTTCTAACCACTTAATTATCGTATAATCGGATCATGAGAAAGGAATGACATGACGATAGACTTTGCATCATCCCTAGATCGATTATAACTAGTAAAGTAAAGTTTTAACGTGTTAGAAAGACAATGAAAAAAGCAAGCTGCAGTCTGCGCAAACTTTGTTGGGTGTACAGACCTCCGCGTTTTGGCCTGAAAACTGATGAATTGGGCCATTCAGCACTTTGTTCGCTCAATGTCCTTCCGATTAGGTTACGCAGGAAAGGATATACATCAGAATTCCCATCTATCGCTGTAAACGTTTTCTTGGAAGATGAGCAAAGTTCTGAATGTAAAAAGAAGCTATGTTTTTTGAACTGGTATGTTGCTGTAACTTTATCATGCATGACAGATTCATTCTCTCCAAAAAAAAAAGGCCAAGAATTGAATTTCCAACACTTGAAGTCTCATTCCATTCAAGTTATTTGGAGAGATCTGTACACGAGTTATTTGTCATTGTGGCTCTGTTTCCCTTCTTTTTCTCTTGATTATTTGATCCCAGCAATCAAAATATTCCTCTGTTTTCCGTATGTTGGTGAAATTAATCTGAAAATGGTGGACTTAGATGATCGTTCGCATTTTGCTTTCATAAAAAAATTTCCTCCCAAAAATTCATTGCATGAATTAAAACTGAGTGGTAAAAGTTTTGATATACGTAACTGGTTTTTGTACTTTGGTGAGTTCGTTAGGTTCCTTTATTCAGAAGATTCATTCTTGTAAACGACTCTTTGTCCTTTGACTTTTTGATTAAGAGAGACTCTGATAGCTTGCTAGTTTTGATAGATTCTGAGTGGCATGAGATCTAATTTCAAGTGGTTCTGTCTTTTAGGGGAATAATAGTTGGGGCTATCAATTCAAACACGTTCTTTGATTAATAGTCCTTTGTCGTAACAAATGAAAAAAGGCGCTGTTCTCTGATTTTCTGTTAATTTTGGTCAGCTTTTGATCCCTATGATGAACGGTTATTTTTGTCTGATCATGCAGTGGAAGGTGGAGTGCTTTTCTGCCAACTGCAGAGAGCATAGGACCGATTTATCAAAAAGTAATAATTTAAGAATGTGAAGGATTTCAATGTGATGCGACGTAGAATTATTTTTGCAAATCCAATCCAGATGGCATGCATATTAATCATATTGGTGTCATGGGAGCATGTCGAGATATGCTTTCAGTTCTAGTTACTTGGACATCAGTACATTTGTGGGTTGCCACAGATCTTAAGTTAGTGTTGAAGAGCAAGAGATCAGCAGCTGTAAGAACAGAAAGAATCATTGTGGAACGATAGCTTTCAACAGTCCTTCCCAGTCCCCGGGAAGAGAAAGCACGGGAGATTTGGCAGAAAGAGGGGTGGCGGGGAAGAGAGAGCTAGCCAGGCTTTTTACACGGTTTTGTCCGTAAAATCAGCTTATAAATTCCTAAATGGCTACTAGGAGCTCCAGTCGACTTTTCCCCAAAGATGTCCATTCAGGAGATCCTCAAAGAATTAGTCGAACTACTAACCTTTTTCATGCGAAATCTCAAATAGCTTCACATCGTAGCCGTCATTACACATGCTTGTGCCCTGCATATAAATTGCTAACCTTGCTTAATTCCTCGAAATGCAACATTAACGCCTTCGGGAGATGTTCGTTTAAAGACTTTATAACAATGGTGATTTTTAGAAATATTTGCTCGCAGTGACTATAAAGCAGAGGAAGTGGTTTGGAAAAAAAGTGAAGAAATAAAAGTTAGAAGAAATTCGCCTCTATTTTGGTACTGAAATTGTAATAGCGTGTCGTCTGTCGCCTTTGTTATTATTATAGGAAAGCTATCCCGATTTCTACCTTAGTTGAAATTTCCTTTTCTTTGTATTTATAGCTGTTTATTGTTGTTCGTGTGGTGCTATTGCTGCTTCTAAAAGAAAAATTCTTGGGAGCACAATTTTGAAGAAAGAGATCAGTGAATCTGACATTTAAAACTGTTACTATTCAGGCTGGCTTCCACCACTCCAACACTGAGTGGTCAATCCTTCTTAGATCCTTGTTGCCATGGAAAAACTATTTACATTCGCATCGTTGCTGCTGGTATTTTTGTCGTGCATTACAGCACAGAGTCCGGTTCAAGTATCTTCGGACTGTAGTCTTTGCTGGTGCGACAGCGCAGGAAACTGTCCCAACCCTCGGGAAGTATGCCCTGAGATAATTAGCTGCAAAACAGGGGTGGTGAAAGATAAGTGTGGCTGCTGTTACGTGTGTCTAAAGTCAATCGGAGAAATATGCAAACGAGAGCCATATGAAAAGGAGGAAGAAAGGTGCGACCGAGGACTGCAGTGTGTGCCGGGTGATGATACGTGGAAATGCGAATATTTTAAACCAGCGAACCTCAAAATAAGCAGATGTGAAAAAGGTTAGTCGATCTCTTTATTGGGGGTTTATGCTTCATGACAAAGCAGTGAAGGTGTTGCGACACAATTCTAACTAAGTCTGCAGTACTCTGAGCACGTCTCCGCCATAAATCGCCCTGTGTGTGTTATAGACGAACTTAAAACGATATAAATGTTGCGGCTTTTTTTTCGGGAGAAGGTGCTTAAAAAAAAATTAGTACAGGCGATCACATGATTCCGAGTGAAATTTGTTTAAGATAGGTGCGAGTGAATTTTTTAGACCAATCAAAACTGCACGAACCAGTAGGGCGAGAGCAATTTGAGGCCTGAAAAATTTAGAAGGGCTTATTCGTACCAAAGCACAAGAGAAATCATGAGCCAGAAGATCCAAACAACTTTAATACTTGTTATTTTTTTGTTATTTTATACCAGCGGGCAAAGATCGATGTTACGACCTGGTCACAAGGAAATCCTACCGAACTGGGGAAATTTGGACGCGAGGAAATTTCACTTGCACAGCATGTCAATGTGAAAGAAGCGGTCGGTTATATTGCTGGACGTTAGAGTGTAACGTTCCACGCTGCAAGGATCCTGTTCGAGTCGAGGGAAGATGCTGTGAGTTCTGCTTGGACAGCGACGCCAAAAATGGTAATAAGTACAAATAACATTATGTAATTTGTGATGAGACGGCCAAAATGAACACCACAAGTAACAGCGGATCTTTAGTTAATGCTGAAGGGCAATAGATCATGATGAACAGCTGTCAGAAGAGAAGGGATCGTTGGGGAACGATAGCTTTCAACAGTCCTTCGTTACACACCCAGGGAAGAGAAAGCGATTATAGGATATTTGGCC